TGTGTGTGTGTGTGTGTGTGTGAGAGAGAGAGAGAGTGAGAGAGAGAGAGAGAGAAGGAGGGGGGAGAATCAATGAGAAAATGTACATTATAACTCTTGCAGCTATTTTAGATTCAGCAGGTCTCTTTGTATCTCATAGAACCTGATATTGCCTCAGTATTTGTTTGAAAGTGCTTTATGTATACTTCTCATTATTCCAGCTGTTGACCAGGGCATCTTGTCTGATGTAGCCAATATAGCAGGATATAAACAAACAATGAAGTCTGTACTGAGCATTTTTAAATGAAGACCTTTGAGCAGAGATCTGTTAGTATGGATTGTTGTTAATGGTTTGAATCTTTAATAAATTTAGTAATTTTTCTCCTACAGCTGAGAGAGTCAAAAAAGAAAATCTCAACATAGTTTGTATACCTACCTCTTTTCAGGTAAATTCTTCCTTTTAACAGTTTATTGACCATTAGTAGATCACTTGTAGTTCTCATCTTGGAAATTCCAATTCAGATTTATAAGTTGCATTGAATTCATGGGGACTGACTTTTGAGCAGACCCAAGATCTAAATCTTGTCTAGCCATCTCATCCACCTTCTTTCTTTGTCCTTAGCAGTATGTGTGTATTTTACACACTCTTAGTACATTCCCATTCTCCTTATTGTGTCTGCAGTGGGTCATCAAGGAAAATTTCTAGAATACTAAAGAGAAAGGGAAAACCCACAGTTGGTGGCCCTAGTCAAACTTAATTTAAAGTATTAAGAGAGCCTGCTGGTCTCTTGGATCAGCATTTACCATCTCTGTCTCCCAAACTCAAACCTCAAATAGATCACACACAATCAATCAATCTATATCACAAGTCTCAAACTTGATTGCATCATGTGACTTTTTGCCTTTGCGAGCCAGGGTGGGCATGGCCTGCACATAATGCATCCGGCCCATAGGCCGCCAATTTGACATCCTTGATCTATATCAGTGGTAGTCAACCTGGTCCCTATTGCCCAGTGGGCATTCCAGCTTTCATGGTGGGCGATAGGAGTTTGCTGTAACTCTGCTTTATAAATTTTATAAAGTAAAGTTACTTCCCTACTTTATAAATCANCTTTATCTAGTAGTAGGTTATGGTCCACCTTATCAAATGCCTTACTGAAGTCCAAGTAAATTATATTGACAGCATTCTTCTTGTCCACTAATTTGTCAAATTATGGTTCATCGCATGGTCAGTCAGATGTTCAAACTGGATTCAACAGTGTTGTCCATTTATCGAGTACAGGTAGTCTTCAACTTATGATCACAATTGAGTCTAAAATTTTTGTTTCTAAGTGAAACATTTGTTAAGTGAATGTAGCCTCACTTTACCTTTCTTGCCATGTTATTAAGTGAATCACTGCAATTGTTATATTAGTAATATGGCTGTTAAATGAATCTGGCTTCCACATTGACCATGCTTGTCAAAAGGTTGCAAAAGGTAGTTACATGATACTGGGACAAAGTAATCATCATAAATATGAGTCAGTTGCCAAGTGTTTGTATTTTGATCACATGACCATGGATGCTGCAAGGGTTGCAAGTGTGAAAAATGGTCATGTCACTTTTTTCAGTACTATTGTAACTTGAAGGGTCACTAAATAAACTAAAGTCAAGGACTACCTGTACTTCCCAATGCTCTGGGATAGGCAGATGTGAATGTTTGATAATTTTAAAGATGTCATTGCAGGATGTATACTATTCCAAGTAAAGTTTTTATAACTGACTGATAGTGATTTTATCAATACCAATGGTGTTCAAGCTGTGCTCCAATTGTGTTGGGATTGCATACAATGCACCCATTACTATGGTACTGGTATTGCCTTTTCTTTTTCCTCCCATGCTTTTATTTCTATTTGAAAGTCTTTGTATTTTGTTATCTTATCTAATTCATTCTATTCTAAGATATGTGTTATTATAAGCTGCCTTGTCATTGGCATACAAGTTTATGGATCACAGAATGTGTCAAAAAGTGAAGCATTGAAAGAAGAAAACTAGGGAACCGGATTAAACAAAAGCAAACCAGGAAAGGTACTGAAAATACCCCGTAGATGGGAAGTTAGGGCACAAGTGGAAGCAATGTAAGTGTTTATACAGGTAGTTCTTGACTTACAACCATAACTGAGCCTGAAATTACAACTTTTTGTGCCATTTGTTATGTGAACATCACGATTACCGACTGTAGTAATTGTTAAACTAATCCATTGTACCCAATAGGCAAATTGCAGTACATGACCATGGAATGCTGCAAATGACTGTAGCCAATTAATGGTCCTAAATGTGGCCATGTGATACAAATATTTTCATGTGTGGCTGTTAAAACTTTGGAACTTGGTTATATGTATCTTGGATCTGTTGTTATTTTGAATAGTCACTAAGGGACCCATTGTTAAGGACTATCAGTATAAACATTTTTTTAAAGAGTGATAAATGTACACACATGTTGACAACATTTTTGAATATACAGTATTGCAAATATCAATGTGAGGCAGAAGATCAAGATCAGAGAAAATGTATTAGTTGAAAAGAGAAGTGAATTTTTCTGTTAACAGAAAGAGGGAATTCTGTTCTGAAATCCATGAGGTATGGTGCCCTACATGCAAACTTTAAATAAATGAAAACCATAAACAGCAAAATGTAACTAAACTGAGAAATTACCAATTATCAATTCTTTGATAAGAACTGTTATCAATATAATACCGTCAGCTTAAATACACTTCACCTCCAGAAAGAATATTCTACTGTATTCTTACATTATTAGTTCACATCAAAGTTATTTTAAATATTTTGTTTTCCTCCAAAGATGGCAGTTTTGAAAAATATGGAAATCAATTAATAGGTTAATTCTAATCAGAAAATATTAGATGATATATTAAGTGTAATTATATTAAAATATTTCTCAGCCTGTGAATTTTGTTAAAATTGTTCTGATAGCTTCAGAGAGATTTGATAAAGAATTACTACCAGTTGACTTTTCTGAGCTCAGTTTAGCAATATTCTGTTTCAATAAGATGATTTACTAAATACTATTTTAGTTCTTGCAGATAGCAGCACAAATAAGCATAAAACTCATTTTTAATGTTATTAAACTATCTTTTAATAGTTCTTGCTTCAAAATAAATTTTCACAGGGTAGTAAGAATAGATTTGTTTGGATCCAGAGTCGTGTATAACAGATGCAGATCCTTCCATCCATATTAGCACTTTAGGGTGGGAGGAAGGGAAGGAAGGAAATCATACAATCTCAGGAAACAGAAAAATTCATTCACTGCAAATCACATTTTTGTAAATTAGTACCCATAGCACTTTTTTTACCTGCTAGCTTTCATATCCAAAAAGCTGACCAATAGTAAGAAAAACACTCAGTTTAACATATAGGAAAGTAGTTATTGAGTACAAAGTGAATGAAGAATAAAACAACAAATATAAATGTATTCCATTCCAATTTTCTCTATGTAGACTATATACTGCAAAAGAAATAGGTATATTAGTAACTCTATATGAGTGTTAAATGGTTTAAGGAGCAACTCACAGGGCAATTTACTTCCTGCAAATCCTGTACAGGTCTGCTAGCGTTGGCTATCATGCAAAGCATATGTGAATCTAGAGCAGTGGTGCATAACCTTTTTTTGGCCATGCCCCACCTAAGCATCTCTAAAATTCTGACCCACCCTCCCCCGCGACATACACTTCTTACTTTACTCAAAAAGTGAACTTTACTCATGCGGAGGAAGCCTAAAAGGCATTAACTTGGTTTAAACAAAGTTCAAATTGCTCCATTAAAAATCAAATTGCCCCCGTGGGCGTGGGCCCACGTTGGGGACCACTGATCTAGAAAAAGACCCTGGTTCTCCGAAAATATAGTTGGCAACACCTCCCACACCTCAGAGCCCACATAACATTTTCCCGATTTGAGATTTTGAGAATAGATTCCGCATTAGAAAGCAAGTTGGTTGGGAAAGGCGGGCTGGAGGGAGCCGCAGAACAAGATATATATAAATATACAAAACACACACATAACACCCCCCCTTTCTTTCCCGCCTTACCTGAAACTACCGCTTCGGGTGGGGGCTTCCACTGCTTCTTCCTCCTGTTCCCCGGAGGATGCGGCCTGGGCCACGCCACTGGCTTCATCGTCTTCCACAATCACATCACTTACGACAGGAAGCGCCGCGGCTGCAGCGCCACCAAGTCCTAATCCGGGCCGGCCATCACCCTCCGAAAACGCCGCCGCCTCCCTCAGAGGGACGCAGAGCAGCAAAAGAACCCAGAAGAGCACCAGGGCGGCGACGTTAGAAGGGGTGGCAGCGGAAGGAGCAGGCCGAACTCTTGGGCCTCGCGGCCCTGGCATGGAGGGACTCTCCCTCCACTCGCCTCAAAGAGGTCGTTATAGCATAAAACTCCGACCTGGCTCCAGGCAACTCCTTCCAATGGCCACTGAGGAAGATTCAATTTCCTTCCCTCAGCGGAGAGATTAAGTACGCACGCGCAAACTGCAACCTAACTTGCTTCTAGTTTACCAATCCCGCCCCTTGTTAGCCACGTAACGGCGAGCTTGTAACACAACCTACAGTGCTTGACTTTAGTAACAGTTTTTTCCTATTTTACCTATCCAGGCTTTGGAGGGGTTGCTTTCTCTTTGAAAGAAAAGGGATAAAAACATGATAGTTTCTCTGCGTGTCAACAGAACCAATGAAAATGACGCTTTCTGGTTTTTGCCCGCCAATAAAAAGGTTAATGTCTCCAAGGTTTCCATGATTGGACTAAACAATAACACGACTTTTGGGTTTGACTTCCGCTCTTGATTGGAGAACGTGGAGGTAGCTGGTGGAATACAGGGATTGGTTGTTGCTCTTTTCCGTCCCCTCCTGATTGGGCAAAGCCGATGCTTTCTACGTGGCTGATTTTGAGTGTTGACGGTATTCTCCAGAGCAGAGGGCTTGGGGGTAAGGGGAGATGTTAAAGAAGCAGCGGTTGTTAAACCGCCATATGGGGTTACAGAAAGTAAAAAAAAAGTCATCGACATAACATTTAACAGTCCTTTCATTTTTGGCCGGGATGAAATAAGGAATATTCATATATTTATGTTTTATAGACATTCTAATTCTACATAGGAAAGAGGATCCGAGGTCAATCAGACGTGATCTGGACGGAACAAAATTGGGAAATTCCCAGGGGATACATTTAAATGCTACATCGATTGTTTACTGCAGTTAAAACTTTGTTCATTGATTTTTTTTTTACAAATGCCCTAATTTTATTTGTTTCGTGGGTTTATTTGCAAGGGGGTCTTCTTGTAAAGAACCCAGACCCCTTCAATTGCTGCCTGCAGTGGTTCCACCCAGTGTTAGGACTATGACGCTCTTCCAGATGCCGACTCTCGTTTTTAATGGAGATCACTGTGGATTGAAGTTGCACTTGTGAAGCACCGGAACATCTAAAGAGGTTAAAAACAATCTTGCTGCCTACGATTTGAATCATAGCAACATTGATGGCCTTTGTATCTAGTGGTGCATTCCGCTACCATGGTTAAAAATGTTTTACACTATGATGAATAAATATGAGAGAATTGTGCCACCCTCAAAAAAGATAAATAGTACCTCGTAATTTGGCCATATATGATATTCGTTTGCAGAAAAAAAAGTCGAAATGCAATACATTACTCCAGAACTAATGTGAGAAGAATACAAAGTGCCATCAAATCGTTGTCCACTCCTAGAGACCACATGAATTTATATTCTTGTGCATTTAAAGGACATTTCATTCCATTACTAGAAATTCAGTCTCCCAATTTGAAAGAATGTTCTGTTCATATGGACCATATATGTACAGCAGTTTTTCTCCTAATAGAAATAATTTCCGACCATAGAAATCGAAACCAGAGAGAAGGGTTTTTAGTGGTCATATTTACACGAGATGCAGCGATCTACTCGAACCTCAAATTATTGACATTTAATCGTAGAGGTGTCGGACATGAAGCCACGTTTGATATTAATGTCTGGCAAAAAGTTATTTAAAAAGCGCATGAATACATTATTGTTTGAATAAACTATTAACCTTGTAGCAGCTGATAATATGACTAAAATACATCTGCTCTTGTTTTTGCGTTCAAAACAGCTGAATGCCGGGATGCAGTCTTTCTGGGCGGGCTGTTTGTGTGCGTGTGTGGGGGTGGGGAGGTGTCTCATGCAGTTCGCACTAGATGCGCTCAATTCTGCAAGTAATAGTCTAAATCTCACATTGCGCCAAAAGAAGTAAGCGTTTGTCAGGCAGCCTTAATCGCGAACTGTCCCGGGGTGGTGGTGTGGTTCGGGGCAGTTGCAAGAGCCAAGGTGAAGCCCAAGGGGGAGAGAGGCGGCTGCGGAAGCCGGGCGGGGTCAGTGTCATGCAGCACCGTACGGAGCATCTCACTTTTCTTTATAGGACGCTGACAGCGGAAGGAAGGGTCGGGTCGAGGGTTCTGCATAAAGAGTGCGTGCTAAACCCGAGGCTGTTGAGAAGCAGCCACGGGGGCAAGAATATGACCGAAGAAGCCAAAAAGCTGGCCGCCTGGGCTGCGGTAAACAATCACGTGCAGGTAGGGAGCTGATTTTGCAAGGAAGTACGTTTCTTCACTATTGTTTTTGGAACTTTCGACTTTACCAAATATTTTTAGGCGTTATTAAATTTGTATTCTGAGAAATACAGACGAAGGCAATTAGTTTTCTCCCTGACAAAAATGTGTGCGGGTTTTTAAAACAGATTTTATGGGTATCGAAACTGCCACTTGTTCTGAAGTTGGTTGAAGACTTCTGAACAGATCAATGGCAAAGGTCTCGTTCTACGCTGCGATTCTCAGCAGTACTTTCACTATTGGAATTTGATTTTGTAGTTCTTACTTTCTGATGGACTTTGATCCATATTATTAGTTAGATGGTTCCATTTGCTCTAAGAATGACCGGTAGAACTTTGTGGAGTTGTAATTTTGGTTACTGTCCTTACAAATTAAACATTTTAATGTATTCTTATTTTAATCTGTGCTAAATTAATAAGTTACTGATCAAATTCTTCACATGTTGGTTTTTTCAGGCAACACATTATTTTTAACACACAAAGCACAATTATGAAAAACAGTTGTTTGAAAATGTTTGGGCACGCACACAGTTATCAGACAAACTGCTATACATATTAGATTAACTAGTAGTCAATTGCATTAATCAACTGTACAGATATTATTTTACTTTAGAGAAATTTGGGTTTGGTGTATTTTCTTTTTTTGGCCTCATGAATGTTCATAGAAGAAGAATTAGGGTTTTTTTACTGAACCATTCTTGTTTTACATGCCTGTATGAAATGTTTCTGTGTCTTTTAGAAGCCAGGCTAAAACTGCTTAAAAGAAAAGAGTATCATTATGCTGTTTAGTAATCAGGGAGTACAGTTTCTGTATTGATTTACAAAAGCAAATATTTTTGCTCCTTTGTAGACTAATCATGTCCTTGGAATTGGAAGTGGATCTACAATTGTTCATGCTGTACATAAATTGGGTATGTCTGTTACTCTTTTTTGCCATAAGTATTTACAGGTAATCCTCAAATTACAACCACAATTGAACCCAAAATTTCTGTTGTTAAGTGAGTTTTGCTCCATTTTATGACCTTTCCACAGTTGTTAAGTGAATCTGACTTCCCCATTGACTTTGCTTGTCAAAAGGTAATCATGTGACCTTGGGAAACAGCAAAGGTCATAAATATGAGTCAGTTTCCAAGCATCTGACTGATCAAATGACCATGGGGATGCTGCATAGGACACAACTGAAAAATTGTCATATTTTTCATGGCCATTGTAACTTTAAATGAACCAAATGAACTGTCACTGAATGAACTATTGTAGTCGAAGCCTACTTGTATTGTTCTGCTTACTCAAACAGTTGGAGTACCTGCTTTGAAGGAATTATTGAAGGTGATCCCAGAATAGTATATTTTCCTGTTTATACTTTATTAAATTGACTTCTATCCTGCCTTTTATTCAAGGCAATATACATAGTGCTCCTTCCTTCAGGTGTTTTTCTCCATAGCAACAACCCTGTGAAGTTGTTATGCTGAGAATGAGTAGCCCAGAGCTAAGCATACTTGCTGGAGGGTAAATGGATCCAAATCACAACTACTGCATCTCACTACTGTTTAACTCATATTTACAGTGTTCTTCATACATGACAGCATGTAAGTAGTGAACATTTGCAATCTTCAGCTGTTATTCCTCAGATCTTTATTGGGTTATTACTATATGGTAGTGGTTCCCAAACTTGGCAACTTTAAGATTTGTGGACTTCAACTCCCAGAATTCTCCAGCCAGCAGAACTCCAGCAGAGCTCCAGCAGAGCTGGCTGGAGAATTCTGGGAGTTGAAGTCCACAAGTCTTAAAGTTGCCAAGTTTGGGAACCATTGCTATATGGGATAGTTATTGCTCTAATACTGTAGTGAACAAAATCCAGATTGAAGTCTAGAATCATTCCAGTTTAAAAATCCTTTTCTGTAATATATCAATTGATTCCTACACATGATACAAACTGAAATGAAAAATTCTGGGCTCCACTCTATAACTGATATGTATTTAAAAAAACCTCTCCAATTTCTTAACCAAGTTTTAGAGTAATTGTTAATTACTTTTCAGTTGTATAATACTGTACTTTAAATGTACAGATAGTCCTTGACTTAAAACTGGTTGCTTAGTGACTGTTTGAAGTTAACAACTGACCTGAATTATGACAAGATTCAGAGTTCTAATATATGGATGGATTCCATTGCAGTCTCATGACCAGATTTTGGACATTCATCAAATCATAGTCCCAATTACAGCCATTTGCATGTGGTCATATTGACTATTTAATTATAATTTTGCTGAAATCAAGCACTTCCTGTTTTCAGCAAAACTGCATCTAGACCAAGGTGATCAGACATCCCGCTTTTGGCGGGACAGTCCTGATTTTTAACAATTTGTCACGTGTCCCGCAGCGTTTTTAAAAAGTCCCGATTTTGGAAAGAATGCATGACAAGCTAGGGAACGGCAGAACGGGAAGGGAACACTGTTCCCTCTAAGATGCGCAGCTGCGTGACCACGCACATGGCAAGAAAACACCATGCAGCAATTTTTAACTGCCGCGCAGGGATTTCTGTCACAGGCGCCGGAAGCTGAGGGGCCTCAGAAAATCTAGGGTTAGCACGGGCGTGGGGACGGTGGCAGGAGCTTACGGGGCACAGCCGGTCTCCTAGGACTGCCTAGGCGCCAGCTGCGCTGCTCATTACCGTCAGTCGCCCCGTGTTCAGCAAAGCAAGCCCGGGGAGGTCCTTTGTGGGCGGCCAATCCTAGCCGCTTGCCCCCAGCGCTGCGGCTGAAGTGAACCCCTCAAAGCCCCCGCCGCTACCGGAATATCTGCTGCTGCCTCCTCCTCCTCCAATAGCACTGCCGGATTTGCTGCAGCTGAGGTGAAGCCGCCAAAACTACTGCCAGCACCCCCACCCGTGGTAGTGGTGCCTCTCCCTCCACAAGGAGCACCTGAGCTGGGCCCCGCGTTATCCCTCCCCCCTCTGCTGTGCTTTTGAGGAGCCATGAGGCTGCAGGAGCCAGCAGGAAGGCGGTGGAGGGGGCGGGAGCAGGAAAAAAAGGCCTCATGGCTTCTCAAAAGCATGGCAGAGGAGGAGGAGGCGGCAGAGGTAATGCGTAGCCCAGCTCAGGTGCTCTGAGTGGAGGGGAAGGCACCGCGGCTGCTGCCACGGGTGGAGGCACCAGCGGGAGCTTTGGCGGTTTCACCTCAGCCACAGCGCCGGGCAGCAAATGTGCTGTTGGAGGAGGAGGAGGAGGCAGTAGTTATTCTGGTGGTGGTAGGGGCTCGTCGGCATCTTCAGCGGCAGCCTTGCCCCCAGTAAAAAAAACGAAGATGAAGCAGATCCACGGGGATGACGGCGCTGCAACATGACTGAAGGGGGAATTCTGGGAGTTGAAGTTCACAAGTCTTAAAACTGTCAGGTTTGAAAATTTTTGTTGCTCCATATAGACCAATTTTTTAATCAGAAACACCCCCCCCCCCCGGTGAATGGTATCCCGCTTTACCAATGTTAAAATCTGGTCACCTTAATCTAGACTGCTGTGGCCATTGGCATATTATGGTAATGGTGAGGCTGCCATATATATATATATATATAT